TAAACTAAGGATAGAAGATTAGTTAGAGAAAGAATCCAAAACTACTGCTGTCAGATGCAATTCACTAGTTGCTATGTCGAGTATCTCTAAAAATATGATCCATTTCTCTGGAGGGATTAAACTCCAATCCCAGACTTTGGAGCTGAAATGTCAACAAGGCACTAGAAAACACTAGAATATTCATCCAAGGTTGATCATATCCACATCAGATTGGTTATTTGCAATATCAGTTCCTTCATTTTTACTATACTCTTATAGTTGGGGAGGGTTTTTTTAGCTCAGAATGTGCAATATATTCTGAGAATTACATCTAGAGCTTCTACATGCATTAAGTGAGCCTTATCCCAAGTGAGAGAGCTGGAGAACTTAGTGGTAGATTTCTGACCAGAAGTGACACTGGACATTAAGAGTTCCTACATGTAGAAGTAAATTAGGTAGTAAATACTTAGAGTTCACAAACATCATTTGCATCTCCCATAGGTTGTTTAAAGTAGGATGTTTGGGGTATATTAAAGAACTATCAAACTACTTACGATTGCTCTATTTTATTGGAGAGTTCTGAGCATGGGCATAATCTTTCACATATTTGTGGTCCTGTCTATATATTAAAGTGTTAAAAGTAAATCTTGCAATAATTGGGAAAATATCACTAGCAGGACAAAAAGCTACTTTAAAATCAGTTCAACTGTTGGGCAATTTATATGAAAATATCATTAGCAGAGTCTTCAGAAATAGACAGCATGCAAATAAAGTAAGTAAATTGTGGGGGACAAACAATATTCTACCCTTTACTTATGATTCTGCAATATGTAGTAAAGCAGAAGAACTGAATCACCCTGATGTCCCTGAAAGAGATGGAGACATATAAAACAGTATGTTGCACTTTCCCTCATACGTGAGTACACTGTTTATGGTTGAGGGTAGTAGTATTAGTAGAAGAGGGAGGACTTGGTGCCTTCGTAGGAATGCAGAATTTAGAGGGGTCAGACCATAGCAAGAGCATCCCATAGTATTATAAAGTGTTACATTTACAGCTATAAATATAATATTCTGTGGATGTGTAATACCAACCTCGATTAGTTCAGGGATCTTTTTCATTCTGGGGGCCAAAAGCCCAGTAATCAGTAAAGCTGCACATGTCAATAAAAGATACTTTGTTGTATTTATTTCCACTCTGATTGTTTAAAGTGGGGATTTTCACAACAAACAAATATTAATCATGCTGTGCTCCTTCTTCCCCAGAAAGTTACTGCTCCCTCTGAATTGCCAAACATTGAACTGTTTGTTTAAATTTGAAAGGTCAAATTAAAGGCCAGTTTAGCCAAACTCCATTGTTCAGTATAAATCTTTGTCCTTAAAAATCACAGGGTCTACCATATTAAAATGCCAGCAAAGGGAATTATTTATGGGGCCTAGCAAAACAGAGAAATCTGATCTTTTCCATATTGCTTGTTTGGCTACATTTTTGGCTATTGCTTATTTATTATTACTTTTATTTTAATCCTTGACTGTTAATACATGAATATTTTTAAATATTTTTTTCATATACAACAATCCTCCTATTTCCCCCACAACAACAACCCTGTGAGATTAATTGGGCTGAGATAGAGTGAATGGCCCAAAAACATCCATCCAGTTTTTCATGCCTGAGTCAGGAATAGAAGTCACAGTCTCTTGGTTTCTAGGCCACCTCCTTAACCACTATACCAAACATGCTCTCTTTTTGCATACAACAGATCTTTAACTTCCAGTGTTAAATAACCACTTCACTTAATGTAGAGGGAAATCAATAATAACATTGGTATTGATATAGCAATTTCGATTGTCAAACAAAATGCAGCATTTCTCACCATACAGTACTTTATTTTCTTATAATGTTGTACCACATATTATGATCAATGTATTGCAGATGTAGACTGATGCTGAGAAAATACAGCTTGTTTAATATAAGCTGCTTAGCTCATGTCATGTATTTCTGATCAAAGTTCATTTTTAGTCACCGCATTAGCCTTTTAAAGGCTAGTGAATCACATAATGATGTTTTTATAGGTAAGTACGTGTCAGTATGCTTTTTCTGCTGAACAGCACTAAACTATCTACAGATCTTCAAATTTATGAATGGCAGATTCCTTTTGTTCAGATGTCTGTTTACAATACATTATTTTTTAATAAAACGGGAGTAAGGAACTTCAATAAACTCTACTATGCTGACAACATTACTTTGCTAGCTGAAAAAGTAAAATCATCTGCAGGCTCTAGTAATGAAAATCAAAGAGCTACTGGGAAAATAAAGAACAAAAAGTAAATATAAACTAATGACAATAAATACAGAAATCAGCCTTAGAATTGATAAGGAATATATTGAAGTGGTGGATCGCTTCTGCCTTTTAGGATTGGATGCCAGGATTTAGGATACCATGATAGAAGTAGATCAGAACAAATTCAGAATTTTCACTTGAGGCACAAATATGACAATTTGACCTGAGACCTGGCTCTCTTGAGAAACCCATCATTCTTGGAAAGTTAGAAGGAATGAAAAGAAAGACATTACCAGCAACCAGGTGGATGAACTGAATTATAATGATAACAGTAGCATTGTTGGAATATCTGAAGGATCAGATTAAGGACAGACTGTTTTGGAAAAAAATGTTCTTATGTGGTCACTAAGAGTAGACACAAGTTAATGGCAAATAATCTATCCATTTAAAAAGTGTGACAGAAAACAATACAAAAACCTCCCAAAGAAATCTCTATTGCATGTGCAAAATTCTGGGACTTTAAACTAGTGGTTTTGATTCATTGGATAGAAACTGGGAAAAAACTGATATTGGGTCCCTTTTTTAATCTGCATTCCTGTTCTCGGCAATGCCGCTTAGACAACCATTAATTATCCCATGCATCAGCTACTGAAAAACAGTGTCCCATTGGCCGCAGATTTCTACTCTATTATTTAGATTGCACTCTATAAATTATGTCTTCATGGCAGTCCCCAAAGCTCCAAGATATGTGAGAAGACAGTGTGTTGTGATAAAAAACAAGATTAGGACTGATAAATTCCAGATTCAAATCCATCCTCAGCCATAAAAGTTTCACTGTATCACTTTATGCCCATTCTACCTCATAGAATTTTTGTTCTGGAAAGAAGATAGATGATGAAATGCTATGGGTGCCCTTAAACATTAAGAAAAAGGGAGAGATAATGAATCAATAAACTGTATATAGGAACATTCCAGTCAAGTGGAACAGCATTACAAAATTCTCTGCATTTCAGGCAAAGTTAAGATCCCAAAGAAACATAAGATAAAAAATATTCTTCAGTTAAAACGGAAGACTGAACAGAGAAAATCTTTGTGTAAAAAGGCCCAAATGAAGTGCGGATGAGAAATCACAGATGCTCATCTTATATATCACATGCAATATCAATAAAATATTTTGGTAATTACAACATTGATAAGATTTGCTACAAATACATGTGTGGGGACTGTAAACTTCATTAAGATTTATCCACCTGTTCCTCCAAAATTTAAGCAATGACTTTGTTACATAGAAAAGAAGCATGAGCCACAATCATTTGAGAGCGAACATAAGCCACCTAAACCTTTTTGAACTTACCCATATAGCTAGTAGATAGGGGGATAAATAAACATATATATTTTATATATGAATCATCTGCATGTTATTTCTCATGCAGTATATTTACAACGTGCCAAACTGAATATTCTGAAGCAGTTAAATGTTTTCTTAATGTTTTGTTTTTCTAAATTTCCATATTCTGTGTAATATCATTGTCAGTTAAATTTGAAAACCAAGGTTTTTGTTCAGTTCAGAAAAAAACGGTTTTAATTATTGTACTCTTACAATGAAGCTTTTACACAGAAGGAGTTTTTCTTTTAATTTGAAATTTGGGGCAGGGGTCATGCTAGTTTATCTGTTGCAATAATAGCTAAGCAATTTATATAGAATATCATAGCAAATAATTTGAAAAAAGATGTCTAGATAAATGATTTAAATATATACACTGTTTAAGTACTATGCAATACTTAAGTTTAATAGAAACTAACAGATATGCAAAATTCTATATTTAGAAAAGACAAAATCTCAATTGGAGACCTTTTAAATTATAAATGGATAAATTATATCATCAGCTGTGGTTTCCCAGTCTTATCCAACTGTCTCTCGAAAGCAAGTTTAAAAGTTCATAAATAAAATGGATATTGAAGCTCAGAGAGATATAGCCATCCTAAATAAGTCTGGCATAATGAAATGGATGAGGCACTATAAATGTACCTGCCAAATTGCTAAATATTTAAACACATAAATACCCAAACCTTAGGGGAGCAGTTATTCAAGCAATATTTGAGCAGCAGGACAGAATGGATACAGAACGTTTAACCAAATCCTCATGATGGACATACTTTTATTAGCAGAGCCCCAGAGATAGAGGATATAACACATATGTTACCTGAGTATCAATTATATAAAGAGAGAGATCAGTGTCATGGACCACACATTAGATCAGGGGTCTTCAAACTTGGCCCTTTTATGACTTGTGGACTTCAACTCCCAGAATTTCTCAACCAGGCATGCTGGCTGAGGAATTCTGGGAGTTGAAGTCCACAAGTCATAAAAGGGCCAAGTTTGAAGACCCCTGCATTAGCTGGACAGCCTACTGTCATCCTCATATTAATGTACAGTATATATCATTTCATGTGTGGTCAGAATCCCAAATTTATATATAATATAGCCCTTTAATTGAACAAAACAATACATATGTGGATTTGATTGGGATAAATTATAGGAGTGTTACACAACTATGATTTGCATTTTCTTTTACTCATGTCTTTTACTGTACTTTTGTACCATATAGTCTTATTATTATTATTCTGTATTTTATATTTTGTATTCTGGTATTTTGTATTCTAGTGGCTAATCAATAAAGTATTATTATATATGTTTAACAATATAGTACCTTTTATACAATTATGTGTTAAAAAACTTACTTGGGTTGTAGTTGTTGTCTGTATTTTTCTTATTTCCTTCCCTACTTCTTTTCCATCATCAGACCTTTCTGTATCAGATACGATATTCCCTCCGTCTACATTTGATACAGTTTTCCCAGAAGACTCAGTTTCAAGAGTTGTAGCTGCCATTTCAGTATATTCTAATCCTTTAGAAGATGAAGCCAAGTCCCTTTCAGATAGTGAATCAATTGTATCAACAGAAGTATGAATTTTAAATTCCTTGTTTTCTATTATGCTTGAACCACATGCTATATCAGTACTGCTAGACATATGAGAAAGAAGCCCAAGGTCATTATTCACACCAAGATGAATTTGAGTCTCTTGAATATTGGCAATAGTGATGTGATTGCTAGACAATTCAGGAAGCAGCTTCTCTTCTTGGCTAGATATTTTATCAAAGAGAAATGAGGTGCTATTATGAGGAGGTTCATCTTTATCATCAGCTAGTGTAATTAAGGGACCATTGTCCTTCTCTTCACTTTTCTTAATAATGCCAACACTCCCATGAACATTGTTCTGAAGTTTTTCAACTGCAGCACTATATACATTATCTAATAAAGATTCTACTTCCACAAGGGTACCATTTTCTCTGGTTACCAAAGTCTCTGGTGACAGATCCATATCATCCAGCTTTACTTCTGTGGCTTCCACCTTTTCTGCTTTTATATCAACTAACAGATCGTGAACCTCTACATGCACACCACTCCCCGGTCTATCGGCACTTCCGAGCACATCATCACATACTTTTGTTGCAATGAGTAAATCTCTGGTATCTGTGCTGACTGGGTAGTCTGTTTCACTTTCTGGACTTTGGCTTTGTGAAAGATCTTCAATTTCACGAATATCCATGGCACCTTTTGCTCCAGTGGTCTGAGATGAAAGGCCTGAGATAGTGCTTACATTCCCTTTTTTCCCCTTCTTGATATTCTCCTCTTCCTGTCTTTGGTATTCTTCATACATTTTTGCTAGGTACTCCTTGTGAGCTTCATAGGTAACCTTAATGCAAGCAAATTATAAAGTCAGGAAACAATAGTAATGCTAATTCAATGTAAGAAAAAAGTAAAACAGTAATTTAGCTAAATTAATAATGTAACTGAAAAATAATTCAGAAACAATTATAACGTGCCATTTTGCATGGTGACCACAAGATGGTACTACAATTTATCTATGACATAATATTAACTAAATGTGGGACTCTTACCTTGGAATGGGCTATGGAAAGTGTATCAACCCAGACCCTCCATCCTCCCCATTCATATTTTATTGCATGATATAAAAGAATACGAAAGATGTTATACACCATCTCAGTAATTTTCTGTTCTTCAGAGTTCTTAGGATTAATATATCCCAAAGAAAACATCCAATCTTGCCATACTGAACACTGAAGTAAGCATCTAAAATAAAATAGTCACAATAAAATTCCATGGCACTTGAACTTTTTAATTATACATACAGATAAGAAAAAAAAAGAGGCTTCCATTTTAAATGTTAATTTTTTTAAAAGTGGTTTGCTAAAAAAAACCTGATTTGTAATAATAAGTAAACGATATATATTCATTACACCTTCAGAAATAGAAGAAAGCAATATTTCAAATTGTAAGTGTTAAAATTATAACCTCCAGTAATGGCATCAGGATTCAGAATACTGAATGAAAAGAGACATCATCGAACTTAACAGCAAGTAGGTAGGCTATCTATTTTTGACTTTATTTTTCACATCAAGAAAACAGGAAATGAGACATTAAGAACAATTATTTAGGAATCAATAAAAAAGTGTGAGGAAGCACTATTTAGTATATATCTTTGCCCAAATTGGCAATACTGAAAGATAGATATAATACCCTGAGAAGTGATATCTCTCAAATGGTAATCAAAAATATATGTTTTATGGGTCTTAAAAATCAAACACATCTAGATGATGAAAAGTTTAGGAAGGCAGCTGTAGGCACTGGCACCAAAAGCACTACTCATATACATCCTGTATGAAGCACGAAGGAAACCCCAGGCATCCTTGTGAAGGGAAATCCTGACTATTTTATCTTGTGATGCAAAACAGAAACAAAAAGATGTCAATTATTTCTCTCCTAATATGTATATGAATATGTGAAGATAATTGCACAAAACCTTTCCTTATTTTGTAGTGTTTGCATAAGAAGGGCTGCATTACTGAATGAGATGATTCTTTACATACCTTCTATTTTCACGGCTGTTACTGAAAAGTTTGATCATATCTGATAAAAATAAACGCCGAACCTCCATGAGTTCTGCACTTGGTGCAGAATTCTTTAACAATGTTGCCACCACTTTCAGGATCACTTTAAAAAAGTAAATATATAAGATGCTTACACTTATTTTAATCATTGAAACACTGCAAACATGGCGTTATCTATTATAATTGTATTAACAATGATTTTTAAAATTTAAAAAACAGACCTTCTTTAAAGGAACAGAGTAGAAAAAGCTAAAGTATATCAAGTATAATTTATTTTATTTCCAACTGACTTTGGGCAGCAAATACCACAATAATTAAAACAAGAAAAACACAGAAACAGTTATAAATTATACACATAGGCAACTGAAAAATATTATAATAATTATACAAAAATTAATAGTGCAACCAGGTAGCAGGGCCCCTAACATATTCAGGACCTTATGCTTGGGCACATAGCCAGGTGAATCTTTAATGGCTTATGAAAGGCTAACAGGGTGAGGCCATCCTGAGCTCCAAAGGAAGAATGTTCCAAAGGGAAGGGGCTACTGCCAAGAAGGCAACTTCCTGTTCCCCATCCAACATTCCTTGGCTGATGGGATCTGCAACATCTCCAATCAGCTAGACCAAACTGGATGGATAGAAACTATTAGGAGAAGATGGTTCCTTAGGTAACTTTGTCCAAAGCTATGTAGGAATTTTAATATGACAACCAGCACCTTGAATTGGACCTGGAAACACAATGGCAACTAATGTAGCTCCCAGAGTTGTGGTGTTATATGTGTCGTATAACTAGCATCATAAACTACCCATGCAGCTGTTTTTGCACTAGTTGATCTTTCTGACTGTTGCAACCACATTAATCCTAACAATCGGTAACAAGAGCACAAATGACTGTATGCAAAGCCTCCCTAGTCCAGGAATGGGCACAAATAGCACACAAACCCTCCTAGCCATGGCTGCTACCTGCTGTTCAAACAGGAGATGCGAACCCAAGTGGACCCCCAGACTGCCCACTGGGGCATCCAGTACCAAAGATGGAAGAACTTTGTTCCCAGGAGGACTAAATACTCAAAGCCACTCCATCTTGTTTGGATTGAGCCAGAACCTATTGTGCTCCATCCAGACCCATATAACTTCCAGACCCTTCTTTACTTTGACTTATATCAGTAATAGTTCAAAGTTCATAGAAATCTCTGCATCATGTATTGGTTTATCCTTTCCTACCATCTTTTGTCCACCTCTGAATAAAAGTCAAAGATATACAGTATCAGAATATATCAATAAGAAACTTCCTCCTGTCTATGTAATCTTGCTCTTTTTCTCTGCTTTCTCAAACCTCTTGAAAAAGCTTACATGAAGACATACAGAAAACAAAAATAAACAAAAGTTTATTTATAAAAGTGCACATCTTACAGTATAGGAGCTTCCTGCTTTTGTCAAAATAAGAAAAGTAGTGTTATGGTAGCTCTGCTTCTTTTGTATATAAGTTGTAATGTCAAATACACATATCAGAGAAGTAGGGCTTTCATTGTGACACTGCTATTTTGCTTTCTTTCTACTCCGCCTAGCCCCTTGCCCTCTCTCCACTAGAATGCCGGTGCATTTCATCAACAGCAACTCTAGAACCAAAAAGTATTTTGTAGTATGATAGAACCTGTGCACTAAGAGTACTGAGGTATTCACTTGAGCTAGTAAAAAGTTTGAAATTTATTACAACCACCTCTCAAAATTAAAAAGATAAATTCTTACTTGGGTTTTGAATTTTTACAGTAGAATCTGGTTCTGGATGTGGTTTATGAACAACCTGTGTGCAGACTTGTTCTGTCAAGATCTATAACAGAAAAATTACTCTTGGGTTTTCCAACAACAATTATTGAAATAAATACTGTCTTCAGTACTGTATGTCATATACTGGTAGTCTTATTTGTTATGTCATATTTTAAGTAAAGTTAAAATGCATTAATTATATTTCTAATCCTTATTTTTGTCCCATTTTGTTTCTCCAATAAATGATACATGCATGCATAAATACATATTTTAACATATTTTCCTCTCAACTTACGCAATTCTTAACTTTTGATTATTATTTTAAATTATACCTTATCTTTGTTAGCCTTGCAAAAAAGATTCTCTCAGGACATATATTTTAAAATGGATTCTACAACATAACCATATTTCAATTGTTTATACCCATTTAGCAGGTACAAACTGAATTGTTCTAGAATCAGCTGCATGAATTTAAGAAAGACAGAAGTAGTGCAACCCTTCTGTTTTGGCCTTGGAAAAACCATTCTGGATGTCCTAGAAATAGTCTGAAATCTCAGAATAAGCTGTTTTAAATGTGCCCGAACTTGTCCAACCTAGCCAATCCTAAGGTTGATCCACTTCCATAACACTCAGAATGGCTCCAAAAACTGAGCTACTTATGTTGCTACTTTCAGAATCAAAACATTCAAATGGCATGCTAGTCATTATATTTATAAAACAAAACCACAGAATAATAAATAGATAAACTTAAGAAATATTCAGTTATTTAAATAATGTTAAACACTGAAAATAAGCACAGGGAAAAGGTTTTATTTGTATCACAATGTAATATTAACGTAAATTAATGATTAATAGAAATAAACAAATATTTTAATGGTGGTTAGCAGTAGATTGAATCTGCTAATTACTGAAATAATATTTTCACAAAGGGTACTTCAGTAAAGAGATTAATATAATATACCTCATACAGTGTGTTGTAAGTTGTAATCGTCAAAGTATTTGTATGTAACATCAACCTCTCTCCAAGAAGAGTAAACAGACTATGTGTATGCATGATTTCAACTTTTCGCCTGAAGGACAAAAGTATGGAATGTACTAAAATGTAAGATTTCCACAACAACAAAATGTAACAATTAATATCATGAAGAATCTTTCAATCTTGTGAGATTACAATCACACATCATACAGTATATTTTATGCATATATTTTTAACATATATATTGAAAAGATATATCCATTTTTTTCACAACTACACAAATTATTTATGGATATGACTATTCCACTACACAATTTTAGTACATACATTGTTAGATCAGAACTACTGAAATATTTTGAATCAAAAAAATTGTAATCACATCTTTAAAAAAAATGAAATGTAAGTAAGACTCATAAAATAATCAACTAATTTATTTTTATTTATTTATTAAATTGGTATGCCATTCATCTCACTGATACAGAGATGTTTAGTGGCTTACAATATAAAAAAGGTTAAAAAAGATAATATAAAGCAATTAAGAGAATTAAATAGAAAGGTAAAAACTAAGAGGATGGGCATCATGGGGGGGAATCTCTCTACTCGGTTAACCTTAGTCAAATTACTAAGTAAAAAGAAATAAATATTCTAGTTTGGAGCAAGACATGATTTTAATACTACCCATTGAAACCAATGGGACAAATTAGGCATAACATTTCACTGATTTCAATGAACACCTCAAAGTATGAACAAATGTAGCTCCAGTTTTCTGCAGTCTTTTCAATAAGCAAAAAAAAAGGGGGGGAAAGGCAATTATATAACTAAACAAGCAAGAACGTTTGAAATAACATATTAGGAACTGCGGCACATTACTTACTTATGACCCAGATGTTTGAGAAAATATCCTAGCACCTTCAGAGCCTGAACCCAAATACTTTCACTTTTTGAAGCCAATAATTTATAGATTACCCTGAAGGGAAGAAACATAAGATAATTTAAGCAAAACTCCTTAAAAGAGTAAAACAAAATCAAGCTATTCTGCTTGTCCTGCTCATATTCAAAGTGTTGTTTTTGGAGCATTTATGCTTTAAATTTGTGGAATATCTGCATCTCTGTCTGATAATCCCAAACCATTAATATTTACATGAAATTACCAAGTGAAATGATCGGAGGCTATATTATTATCCAACTAATAATGGATGCAACTGAGGCAGAGACGGAGAGAGGGATGGAAAAATACTATAAACAAATATTTTAATTAACAGGAGTGATGTTTAGCAAGCATTAACTAATATTATAAACTGGCTGTGTGTGATGACCTGTGTGCAATTATATGAAGAAACCTTTACAAGAAATGTTAACTGAAGGTCTCAGATGGTGTAAGATATTACCCGTGTAGAGCAGT